AGTTTGGTTCTGCATGCGTGAAAGCATCAATTCACGTTAAATTGATTCTTTTCGAAATATACAATATTGCCCCATTGAATATTACTTTATAGAAACAATAAGAGTAAAGTTAATTAATAGATCCCCACATCTCTGCACTATTTGTCCAATTTTATTTAGTCTTTATCTTAGCATAATTTTTATTATTATCGCATTCAACTTCCTTATTGCTCGCCTTAAATAAACACCGTAGAAATCAATAAAGATATATTTTTGACTATTGGTCTCTATGGAATTGATATCTTTTAAAACTACACGATAGGTTGTACACTTGCAGTTAGGTTCACACCCGATCAAGTTTTTGGCGCCGTTGTCAGCGACCAATTACGTTAAAACATCGTAAGCTAGTTGTCACTTCGTTTAGATTAAGGAATTTTAGATGGATCACCCAAACTTTTTCTTCAATCACCAAATTAAAGATTTCAAGGGCCCATAATATTCCTATAAATCAAACCTTGAACTATTGGTGAAAAACTTTGTTAATTCAGAAGATCTATCTAGGTTTGAATCCATGGTGCGAAGGTTTGTAGCAACTCAAACTGCCTATAATAAGGAATTTAGAGACCATGCTCTTCTTGCTAATGAAACCCGTAAGCGACTAAACAATTCTATCCAATCCTTATACAAGGAAAAATGAATTTTCATGATAACTTCCAACCAAACAAAGAATAGTGGATTGAAATGGTTTGTCTTTCTTCTAAACAGTGGATTGAAGCGGTTAATCTTAATTCCAAATAGTAGATTGAAGCGGTTTGTCTTCCTTCCAAATAGAAACTTAAAGTGGTTAGTCGCCAAGCTAAACCGATATTTTTTATTGACTTATCTCAAACCAAATCGGAGTTTTGAACAAGTTATCCTTCGAACCGAACCGAGGTTTTGAATAGGCTAACCATGAACCAAGTTGATATTTTAAATCGGGTTGATCTCGGACTAAAGTAAGCTTTTACACAGGGTGAGCTTACAAACCAAACTAGGGGTTTAAAAAGGCTAACCCAAGTTTAGATTTTAAACCGGACTGATCTCGAACCAAAGTACTCTTTTACGCTAGCTAAGCTATTAAACCAAAACAACGACTTAAAAACTTAAATCCCCAAACAAAGGTTTTAACGGGTTTATCTTTTCAACTATACAAACACTCTCTTAAGGATAAATTATACGACCAAGAGAAAATAAAATATTGGTAAATTTAAAATAACACCATTTCTAGCATACAAACTACCTCACCAAACACAAAGACTTTCTCGAAATGCTACGTCAAAATTAAAGTGAGAGAAAGTAGAAAATAGTTTAGAGAAAGACAGAGAATGAGGAGTGAGATAAAAGGCTCGCGTTTCAAGATGAGAAAATGTGAAGGAAGATGCCTCTATTTATAGGCTAGATGTTGGCACAAGAAAGGAAAGATCCATGAGCCAAAATTAATGAGCCAACTAATTAGATTTGAAGCCTAATCGGCTGGGAGCCCAAAATTAATCAATTACAAATGAAAGATAAAAAACCAATATAATCAATATAATCATAGGCATCTATCACCAATTATCTTCCAAATCCTAGCGAACTCGTCAAGCACTAGCTCGAACCTATTCTCTGGCAGAAAGATAAAAAACCAATATAATCATATGCATCTCTCACCAATAAGTTTCCTAACAAATATAATTTCCAAATCCAAACATCCTTATGAATTAAGCTCACTAACCTAACTAGTTAAGATATGTTATTTGTACTTTAGCTATGGTAGTCATCTATAACGCTAGTGCATAGTTTCTTATGATATTCTTCCATGTGTTTTATAAAGTAAATAAAAAAGTAATTGTTTTGAAAAATTATAAAATGTAGATAGGGTAACTATGAAAGTGTTGGTAAAGAAGTATGCACTTTAAAAAGAAAGTGATTTGTCACAACTTTTACTGCATTGTACTCGATCTTAGTACATTGCTCAATCCCTACTCCACTCCATTCAATCAAAAATCTTATATTTCTCACATTTGATACGTTTCTCATTTTATTTATCTTTTGTTTTGTTTTGTTTTGTGATGTATTAGTTTTAAGTTAAACGCATAATAGTTTTTTATGGTACATTAGGACGCATAATAGGTTATTTAGTAAGGCAGGTATTTATTTGAGCGTTTTTCTAGTTTTGCATGGTACAAAGCTAACTTATAGATTTTCCTAATATGCATAGCTTGTTTGATTTTACCTCTTTTATCCCTAGGTTTGACTTATTTGTTTATGATATATTTTTATTGATTTAATTAAAAGTAATTTGGCTGACATTAGAGAAAGATTTAAACATGGTAGAATGACTCGAAATGGTTTTGTTTGGAAGGAAAAAGCCAGACTTTCGCCCCCAACCATTGCTGAACTTCATCTAATGCATGGCATCTTCTTTCAGAGTTGGCATGTCTCCAACATCCTCCTCACGGAGACATGACTCCCTTATTGTTTTCCATGATGCCTTAGAAGTTCAACTTGTTGCACCAAAAGTCCAACTTGTTGTTGCCGTTCTTGATGTTTTATTCAGGAGGCCCCTTAGGCATCTCAATTCTTTATATGTATGCAAAGGATGCTTCAAAGTACGTACATGTGGGATGGAGAGGTAAAATAAGATTTGAACTTTCTGACAATGATGATGTGTCACACTTGGTGATATGTCATCCCTCATACATCTTTCGATCATGGGATTCTTATTATTAAACTACTCCATAATCACTGTGCCTAATGCACTAGACATGATGGTACAATATTTGGGTGCTGACCCATGTGATACCCAACAGGAGATAAATGACACCAAAGAATGTCATGCAATATTAGATTTCTATAGAAGTTGTATAGATACCACCTGGATGCGAAAATTGAGGTTGATGGTGAGGATGTACACGTTATGTATCATAGAGTATATACATTGAGGTCATATCTCGTGTATCTAGTTGGCACATCCATATTTGTGGACAAATGTGCATATTATATCGATGTCATCTAACTGAGATACTTCATTAACTTGGTGAGGATTCACAAGTATAACTGGGGTAGAGGTTCTTCTTTGGTTTACCTCTACTCAAGGTTAGGTGAAACTTGTTTATGGAAGACTAGATAGTTGACAACAAACAACACCCTATTTACGGTAATATATTTGCACTTTTACTATTACTAATATTTTATAACATTTGTGCTTAGTCCTTACTAATATTTCATCTAAACCATTTTCAAGTATAGATTCTCCAACACTTTCCACGTCTCTACAGATGGGCATATGTGAATGACTACAATGAGGCTTTGCCACATGCTTGCTCCTTCATTTTGCTTAGAGAAAATCAAGAGACTAAGTCGTTCCAAGTTTATCTTGACTGAATCACAGAAGATGATATAAACTTCACATCGTACGACGATCACCGTGAGACATGCACATTCAATAAGATATCCTTATACTCCAAATGGTTGGCTTATGGGTCACGACTGATGTTTTCACGTCTACATGAGCGAGTCATGTGTCAGTTAGAGTATCTATAGGGTATTCATAGAGCCCCCATTGTTGTTGCTCCACCCACAATCTGTCGCAGAGATGTTGATGAGATATTTATAAAGTACCATGATCATATGATCTTAGAGGATGTATGTGTTGTGCCAATTCTTCAACTATGAGTATTGATACGACTACATCCAATAGTTTTTTTAGGGTGACACATTCTTACGTGACACCGGATGCAAAGGGACATCCACCTAAGTTAACTCATCAGGAGATAATAGAAGATGAGAAGGCTAGGACAGACCATATCGTTTATGTATTACCGATCTGCCAACGTATTGTGACTATTGAACGACCGAACATAAAGAGAGAGAAAATTCAATAAGGCACCAAAAGTACATAATGGAACATAACTTGCACTTAACATTAAATGTTGTATGGTGTATATAGACTTCTATTTTTGTCTATTTGTCTCTCATAGTCCAACGTTTCAACTTTGATAATGTTAGGTTGACATAAATTATGGTTTACGGTTAAAGAACTTTTAATATTTAGACACAAAAAAAAAAGATTAGACTTTGAATAATTATATCGTTCAAGGAAAAAATTAGATATGAGAATGAAATGACACATAAAATATTTAGATAAACACAAACATAATACCTAATTTTAAAAACAGCTCTTCATAACTATTTTATCAATTAAAAATTATAAGAAAATATTTGTCTATCCTTCGTTATTACAATCATCTATGATTTCAATTAAAAAAAAAATTTTAAAAAAAAATTTATTGGATATTTCTAAAAATATGAATTTAAGTGGATTTCCATTCCGGTATTTCTCTATAAATGAGTAGATAGGAAGTACATTGAATTAATGAATGGTAAATTTAGATGATTTTTTTTTAAAAAAATTAATTTTTTTTTGGACTTTTTGTAGAATTTAGATGAAAATGAACGAAAATAGTAATGAAGATGAAGATAAAAAGGAGAGAGAAGATGAATATAAATTAAAAAAAAAAGAAAAAAAGTTAAGTGTCAATGATGTACTATCTTAATTAATAAAACTTCAAGATTTAAAGTTGTAAAATTCATAAAAGAAAAAATCAATAGTTAAAAAAAAGTATTCGGTGAATAGAAAACAATAGTGTCTTATATATTTAAAGTTAAAAACTAACGAAATGAACGAAATTGACTAACGAATAGTTCTGGAAGGAATAAAACACTAATAAAGCTATAATAGTAATAGTATTTTCTAAAAATTCTATTTAAAAAAAAGCAGAAAAAGATCTTATTATAGTCATTCTAAACTAAATAATACAAGATATTCAAATGACATACATACAATATAGAATACAACATAGATTACAAGAGAAGATAGCAATATAAACTAAAAGCTATAAGTTGGAATTTATTTCAAGAGAAGATAGCAATATAGAATACAACATCATAATGTATTATTTATCCCAACATTTTATAATCAATCTAGACATGAAAAGAATTTATAACTGCAATGGTTTTAGGATGATGGGAAGACCATGTTGTGGCTGCAAAATAAGGTTGTTAACAGGTGCATGTTGGTAATCAGGAGAAAGAGACCAAGAAAACCTCTGAAGAATTAAAACCATCACTGTTTTAGCTTCCATCATAGCAAAATTCTGACCAATGCAGTTTCTTGGACCCATAGAAAATGCAAGTAGTGCATTTGGGTGTTTCGCAGCCTTAGATACTCCATTTATGAATCTCATTGGATTGAACTCATTTGAATCTTCACCCCAATATTCTTTACTCCTGTGAATCATTGTAATTGGAATCATGAGGTGTGTTCCTCTTGGGATCATCAAATCTCCTAGTTTCATATCTTTTGAAGCCATTCTTTCTAGTTCTACTGCAGGACAATACAATCTTAATGCTTCCAACAACACCATATTCACCTTCAAAAACAATTATCTATCAAATGAGTGATTTTTTTATATATAATCTAGAAAACTAAGAATGAAGAGTTTAGAATATTATTACCATTTTTAACTTTGATAGCATATCTGGATCAGGAACTTCCATGCCACAAATTTGCATGACCTCTTGTCTGAGTTTCTCCTGCCAATCTTTATGCAAACTCAACAAAAAGATAGTCCAAACAAGTAAGTTTGAAGTAGTTTCATGACCAGCTAAGAAAAAGGTCTTGCATTCATCTATGATTTCATTCATATTCAACTTATTAGGACCGTCATTTTTTGTATCCATCATTATGCCTAGTAGATCATCTCCATATGAGGAGCTATCTGATTCAGAATTCAACCTGCTTTCAATAATGCATTGCAGTGATTTCTTCATTTTCCTATCAAGCTTCCATATCTCCAAATTTGACCTAGTAGGAATATATCTGCATTCAAAACCCAAAACCAAAAAAATTACATACTGATCAATGCAACAACGAAAAATGCTAGCAACTAAACACTTGAGTTAGTTTGTTAGGGTTAAAGAATGAGTTAAGAGAAAAGAGTGATATACTGAGTGCCAGGAATGAAAACATCAGAGCTTGAAGCTACAATAAGGTGTTGAAGCTGTGTTTGTGCATTAAAGACTTCTCTTCCATGAGCAAAGCTTGTACCGAAGGAAGTATGAGCTATTATATCACATGTTAGTTCTTGAAATTCTTCACTCATGTCTATTGTCAATGATTTGTTCTTTGCTTCAATGGCTAATTGCTTTTTCCATTCATCTAGCATGGAATTGGTGCATGCGGCCATTCTACTTATCATAACCTGTCAATGTCATATTTATACATATGGAGTCAAATTTGTCATCGACTATTTTATATATATATATATATATATATATATATATATATATATATATATATATATATATATATATATATATATATATATATATATATATATATATATATATATATATATATATATATATATATATATATATATATATATATATATATATATATATATATATATATATATATATATATATATATATATATATATATATATATATATATATATATATATATATATATATATATATATATATATATATATCCAAAACGCGTATGTATTACTGATATATAAAAATATAAGTGATAATTATTTGTCTATAAATATTTAAAATAAAATTGCAACACATGTATGTCATTGGTCAATTTAAAAAAAAAAGATAAATCTTTCATTTTAATAAATACAAAAGGTATTTGAAATGATTATATATAACAAAAATTAATATATAACACAAATAAGTATCGTGTATTTGTCATTTATACATATTAATATTTATGAAAATTATATTTTATTGGTCAATATTTAAAAGAAAAAGAATATTTATTTAACACACAAATTAAATAATGTAATAAAGTTATTAAAAGACAATATGTTTTTCCAACATTAATCTTTTTGGAATTTGTGTACACAATAATAATTAAAAAATGCATGTCTAAAAAAATATTAATTGTTCTTATGTTTAAAAAAATAGTAATTGTTTTAAATTAAATTTATTTGTTAAAATTCACATACAACACTTATAATAAATTAATAGAAACAATAGAAATTTTTTTTAAAAAAAAGTAGGAAAATGAGAGAAAATGAATAATTTTAAAATAATAAAATTATTCTCAAATCCTTATTTCCATAAAACAAAACTAGTCAAATGAGAGAAAATAAATAATTACATAAAAAATATTAAATATTAAAATTTATATTACCTCTTTTTATTTCCAAATCCTCTCATTCGAAAAAACATAAAAAATGTGTTTTTGAGTGATTTTCCTCCCCATCACTCTCCTTTTTTCCCTCTCTTAAATTTTAAAACAAAAATATTTAATTAAAAATATTCTCTCTTCTCCTCGATCTACCTCAAACCAAAAACATTTTAATTACTAAAATTTAATTTTTAAAAATAAATAAATAAAATATTATATATTTAAATCCGCGTATATCAAGTCCCAATTATTAAATAATGTAATTTAGTTAATGTGAAATGTGGGTGAGAATGGTGATGCTGCTGATTTAAATTAATTGAGTTAAAGGTAAAATAAATTATTGGTTAAGAGTTTCACCCATAACAAAGATATTTGTCATTAAAATATTAAAGAAAGATTTAACAAATAAAATTAATATTATTGAGAAAAATTTAAATGATTTATCAGAATTTATTATTTGGATAAAAGAATATAAAAATTATTAAAACGAAAAGAAATTATAAAAATTAACTGTCTTGGTTAAATTTAAAATTTTTCAATATAACATATAAAAGTAAGAAATTTAAAATTACTCTCACTCTATATATATATATATATATATATATATATATATATATATATATATATATATATATATATATATATATATATATATATATATATATATATATATATATATATATATATATATATATATATATATATATATATATATATATATATATATATATATATATATATATATATATATATATATATATATATATATATATTATGAAATTTATTATTATTAAATTTTTTAAAACTTCAAGATGGTAGCAATATGTAAAAAAAAAAATTTAATTGTCCTTAAAATTTTTAAAAAATTGTAAAATAGTCTTTAATAATTTTTAAAATTTACAAATTTGTCCCTATTTTTAAAATTTTAAATTTGACCCAAAGCTTTTAAACATTATATAAATAATTCAAAAATTTTATTAATAAATCATTTTAATACTCTGTCTAAATAAGAAAAAACCAAATAAATAAATTTTAATTAATTTTTTAAATTATTTTAAATTTTAAATTCATTAAAATACTAATTACATCATCCAAACTCATTTTTAATATTTATGGCAAAGTGAAGTATAATTTTTTTATTTTTAATAAATACAATAGAATATTTTAAATATTGAAAATAAAACATACTAAATACTTTATTCAATCTTATTTATAAAAAAATTATTCTTAAAATTTATTGGTTAATTAATGTATTTTATATATTATATAGTTTATTACATTGATAATCTGAGGGAGGATTAAATAAGATCTAAAGTTTATTTATAAATATTTTGGTGATATCTATTTCTAATAAGATAAAGACTTCGTCCTTATCTCCCCGCGTCTAAAAATAGCCACAGATTTGTACCCAAGAAGAAAAAGCACAGATTGTCATGAGTAAATATACCGCATCTATTGGCCTAGAATAATGAAGATAAGACTATTCATATTTAAATGTTGAGAAATAGAGTTTAAAATAAAATCTAAAATATTTTAGTCAAGAGGATTTGAAAATGACAACAGTATCTTCGAGCGAACATATAGTAATTTTAATTGTTTTAGGAGGACTTTACTGCCTATTATGATCCACAAAATTTGAGAGATTAGTTTATATAAATTATGAACCAAAGATATCTAATTTATATAAAAAAGAAGTAAACAATTTATACCAACAAACAAATTCTATCTGCAGCTTTTTTTACAACCACTTGAAAGAAAATATGCTGTCTTTCTTAATCTTATATTAAATAAAAAATATTTATTTGAAAATTTTAAGTTATTGATCTTAATTCAACTAAAAATAATAAAAAAATGCGTGAATACCAAATGGCAACTTCAGGGAATAGTAATTGTATGACACAACCTAAAAAGACAAATTTTAAAATTGCTCATTTTAATTTAATATGAAAGTTTATCTATTAATAGGATATGAAAATTTAGCATTTTCCTTAGACATGCATGGTGATAGTTAGTATAAACCTTGAGTTTATCCATGGAGAAAGCAGGATTGAGTGTTCTTCTGCGCTTAACCCACTCCACTCCTTTCAGTAGAACTAACCCATTTCCTATCAATGTTATTAGTGAAGGTCTTACTTTTGGTTTTTCATAGAAACCAAATTTATTGGATAAAATCTCCTTCGCCATATCTGCATCAGATATCAAAATTCTTGGTTCTGTTCCATACCAGTATAGAAATCTCTCTCCTGCACCATGAAAAACTAATTATGAATAATCATGCATGAGATTATTAAGAGTTAAATATAGAAGAGAAAGTAGTTAATGACCATATAAGGAGGACCATATCTGGTAGTGAGGAAGAACCCTTTGAGTAATATCATGCGAGTGTTTATCCATAATCGTTTTTCTTGCATCCTTCATCATTGTTTTCATATCATGCAGGGAGCCATGAAGAAATGAGTAAGATGGTGGCCCCGTCACGCCTTGCTTTCGAAAGTGCTTTGTCAGTGCATATGGCCTCCAAAAGAGAATTATACATCCTCTCCAAACTTTTGTAATTATCGTAATAGTAAAAATCATCGTGGCTATAGCAATTAGATATCCCATTTTTGTGACTGTGTGTGTGAGAGATAGAGAGAGAGAGAGGGGCATAAACAGCAGATGTTATTCGAAGATTTTTAGTAGGAGGTTGGTTAAAGAATTGTTGAAAGCTGTTGTTTATATAGATGTTCGATGATAATATCGAAGATCATCTTCTCCAACTAGTCAAAAACTTTTATTTGACCGGAAACACTCTTGGTTTCTATAGTCAAAAAGTAGGGGCCACAAGGAACAATCCTTTTCTACGAAGAAATCAAAGCAATTTACGACAAACAAGGGTGTTTTTGTACCAATCATAAAAATTACACTTTTGATTTATTCTAGAATTTATAACTTTTATGTTAAAATTTAGCTCAATCACACAACATATTATTGAATAATATTTCATTTCTTCTGCTCTACACTAACTAGCAAAAAGCCAGTCATATGACACTTAATCTCTTGTAATCAACTTCTCAGTGATCAATGATATTATCCTCTAAATTTGTGTCAAAACCAGTCCATAAACACACATTTTGCCACACTTATTGCACTATAGAGATGTTATTAGGTGATCTAAATCTTCCACCTGTTGAAAACACATCATGCACAACATGTCATGTTGATTGTGAATAATATTCCTGAAATTTATCTACAATCTTATTGGAAGTTTAAATTAAAATATGTTTCAATAAAATATTTCCACTTTAGTAAGCACTATGTCAAAAAAGACATTTAGCAGTGTCTTTTTTGCCTTTAACAGCGCTTTTAAGTGACGCTGTTGTAGGTAAAGGCAACGCTTTTTTTAAGTAAAGAGTATTGTTGTAGGCCCCCTTTTAACAACGCTTTTATAAGCACTCTCTAAAGTATATTTTCTTCAGACGTTTAATAGCGTTTTTTCATTAAAATGCTCTCTTTTAGCCGTGCTTTTAAAAGCGCTCTCTAAAGTATATTTGTTGAAGACATATAGCAGCGCAACGCTTTTGTTAAGAAAAGAAAAGCGCTTTTTCCTCCCTTTTAGCAGCGCTTTTAAAAGAGATCTCCCCCCCTTTAGCAGTGTTTTTTCAAGAAAAGTGATGCCTTATCTACACGTCATTGAATTTTTTTCTTTTAAAAATCACTTTTTCCTAGCATTTTTCGGTAAAAGTGCTGTCTATTGTGCATATTTTTATGAAGTTTTTTTTGTTGGATGTTGTTGCTCAATTCTTTATAATTTATCACATAAACATGCTTATAACAATTATATTCAATACAAGCATTTATTTCAACACTTAGGCCTTATATAAACCATAACAATTCAACACATAACCCTGCTTATAATCATTATAATTCAACACAAGCTTTTATTTCAACACATAGGCCTTATATATATATATATATATATATATATATATATATATATATATATATATATATATATATATATATATATATATATATATATATATATATATATATATATATATATATATATATATATATATATATATATATATATATATATATATATATATATATATATATATATATATATATATATATATATATATATATATATATATATATATTATAATTCAACAGAAACGATCCATAATTCTAAAATATATTTTAAAACCGATAACTTCACAATTATATTCACTATACATATAATTACAAATTCCATATTCCCAAATCCTCACAACAACTTCTAAAAGTATATCAACAAATTCCAAAACTATATACGACTTCCAGAACTATAATTATCCAGTAGTATGTGCATAACATCACAACAACACAAATCTCTAAAGACCACAAACTCCGATCAAAAGACAGAAAGACAATATTTATACCTTATACAATTCTCATTTCAAGAATGTATTGACATCATTCCTCCTTAATTTCTTCCAATTTATCTTTCGAGTAAGTACCACACTTGAATTCATCAAAGTACTACATAATATAACATAATATGCATGATTTAGTTAAAACTAATTACTCAGATGAAATATCGGTTAAATACTAAAATAAATCATATAGCTTATAAATCCATACCATGTTTGGAATCTCTATTTGACCCGAATGAATAATTTTCTTCATAAATCTTAATACAAAATAACTGCAATCAATATCATTAAGCTGACGAGGACACTGCACATGAAAAAAAAACGAATATATATCAGGATATATAGTTTAACTAGTTTTATCAAGTAGAATCACTATAACAATAAAATTTGTGAAAATATACTTGCACTCTGATCCATCTAATGTTGTTAGCCTTACTCTTTGGTACTCTTGCTTGTCTTTGTGATCGGAATATTTGTATAGCTCTAACATAATATAAACGAATATTTAGAACAATCTCACATAATAAATAAAGATAATTATTCAGAACAATCTCATCACTTACTATCAACCATCTTCTTCATATCTGGATATTTTATTTGATCACCATCCAATGAATCCAGATAATACACTATTTCTTTTATCGGATGAATCACAACCAACAATCAGTGTCCACTGTAAAATAAGACAAAAGTTTATATGGAAATGTTATATAGAATGTCAAAAAATTAATAATTATAATAAATGAAAATAGAATGAAATCTAACCCATGACCAATATTATATGGCAAAAAATACAACTTTTCTGTATCTATGGCGATAAATGCTTGGACTAAGTAATCTCTGACTACATCTGGAGTGTGATCAATTAACTGTGCATTAATACAACTAGAAGATAAGAATGAGAATCTTTCTGTCAATTGATGCGGGACCAACAACTTGTCATACAAGAACCTTAAATAAAAACATAATCAACATTAGAATATATTCATTGAAATGAGCAAATAAATTGTTTAATTATTTAATTAAAATTGATCGGAGTACCTGATGTATGAATGCATAACACTGATGCCTAATTTAGAATGTTGGAAAATCTGATCCAAATCCTCTTTAGCAATTGTTTCGGCATAAGCAAAACGGAAAATACCTTTATCCATAGGTATTTGACGAATGCCACCCTCCACCATATTTGTTGTTCCTACATATGTTTCAAGGCACAACCTAAATCGAGAAACATATGTTTTTTTAGGCTCGACCTTTTTTTTGTTGGATACCTTGCTAGATTCAGGCATCTTACCCTTGCTGACTTGTTGCAACTCTTGAGCATGAATCTAAAAATCATATAATTTAGGTAATTAATGTATAAGATCATAAAGCTATTGAAATTGGAGGATATAATTGACATTTCTATGCATATATATCAATTAATGTACCTGTCACTACGCCAAAAATGAATTTTGGCAGCGCAACAAAGACAACGCTTTATTTAAAAGCGCTGCTAAAAGATTTATAAAAAAAAGGAAAAAAACACAGGCTTTAAAAAAATCTTTCTAAAAAGCACTGCTAAAGGTTGTTATTTTGTAATACAATAGAAAGCGCTGCTATAGGGGGGATACGAAAGCACTTTCTAAAAGCGCTGCTATAGGGGGGATACGAAAGTGCTTTCTAAAAGCGCTGCTATATGGGGCTATACGGGGGGTTACAAAAGCGCTTTAGAAAGCATTGCTATAGGTATTTAGTTTTTTAAAAATAAAACAAACTTTTCATTTCAGACTCACACTTCAGTACTTCTTTCTTTCTCTCTCTCTCTCTCTCTCGTGCATGTACGTTTTCTATCAATCTCTCACCACTGAACCCTACTCCCTCCGTAGTGCTCCCTTCGTCTAACAATGTATCTCCGTCTCTCCGACCGCATCTTCCTCCATCGTGCTCCCTCCTTCTGGCCTTCGTATCTCCGTGTCTCCGACCGCGTCTGAAATCGTCTTTCCTCCGTCAACAAGGTAAATATTATGATCGTTATTCTTATGTTGTTACTGGTTATGTTGTTGCTGGTTCTGAAATTGCAAAACAATGTTATGTTGTTGTCGATTTTATTTTGTCGGTTACGTGAAAGGAATATCTTATGTTGTTGCTGGTTATTTTTTAAAAGAAATAGAATAGAATGGTAGTAATAACACATAGCAGAATGAAATTGATTTTGGTGGTGAGTTTGAATGTTGTTGCATTTCTTTATTCATTTTCTTCTTCTTTTTCAACCATTGATAACTATACTTGTAATGAATATTAATTTCTCCTTTTCTAACCATGTATATTATATTTTGAAAAATACTATCATAGGCTCTCTCTTTGATATAGTAGAGGTTCAAAAATATTGTCTATTGTGTATGGAAAATTTAAAGTTTGAGTTTGAGTGATATTATTAGAACTCACTTTGTCTTCTAAAATTACTTAATAAACAATATTAGATATTTTGTACCTATAATAAGATTTTAAAAATTAACAATTGAAAATAGTTTGTTGAGAAATACAGCTGAGTCTAATTCAATTTTACAAAATAGGTTTGTAAAGTAAGGATTGTATCCACTTATGAAGACATGAATTAATAGTCTTAGCGTTAACATTTTGGACTCTGTTATAGCTCTGTTATATGATTTTTGAAAAGAACAAGGTAGAGCTCCACCTACATTGACAGGTGAACAAATTTTTGAAAAGGTGAAAGATGTGAGTACTAAGTTTGGCAAGCCTTTTCCTCATACGCTTGTCACGAGTGGGTGGAAGAAGAGGTCAATTTTTTTTTAATTTCCATATTGGAAGTCGTTGTATGTAAGACATTTTCTTAATGTTATGCATATTGAAAAAATGTATTTGAAAGTGTTATTGGTAAGTTACTCAATATACAAGGAAAGTATAAGGATGGCCTTAAAGCAAGAAAAGACTTGGTAGCGATGGGAATAAGAAATGAATTAGGACCATTGAAGAAAGGAAATCTAACATATCTACCACCTGCTGCTTATACTTTATCTAGAAAGGAGAAAAAGATATTGTGTAAGTTTTTAAGTGAAGTTAAAGTTCCAGAAGGATACTCTTCATATATTAGAAGACTTGTGTCTATTAAAGACCTCAAGTTAAAGATTTTAAAGACACATGATTGCCATGTTATAATGGAACGCTTTCTACCAATAGGTATACGTTCTATTTTTCCAGAAA